ATTAATCAACAAATTAAGTAGTAATCAATTATAAACTAGTAGTAAAATATTATAAATATAATAGTAAAATCATTGATAATTTAATACTAAATTGATAATTGAATAACAAAATAGCTAATAACATAGATAGTAAGTTACTGATAACTATAAATTAGTGATAATTGTAGTAGTCAATTAGTTAATCATTGACAAACTTTTAGTAAATCCAATTTGATAAATTAGTACTAAATTAGTTTATAAAATTTATATTAAATCATCATAATTTAGTGATAAATCATCAACAATTTAATCAAAAACGGTTCATAACTTAATAGCAAATCATTCATAAATTAGTAATAAATCATTGATAATTTAGTTATAAATCACTGATAGTTTAATAGTAAATTATTGATAACTTAATTGTTAACCTTTGATAACTTTTTTATATACTTGAAATTGTTAGGGAGTAAACCATAGTTGTTAATTTCATTTTTGTACCAATCATACGGTCGGTACGCTCTAGTTATACCAAAACACGGTACATATAAGGATATTTATCATACTGGCCAGTATGAAAAATCCATGGATTTGATACCAGGTAATACTAGTCATTTTTGTAGATTCGACTAGTTTTGATGAATTTCGATGGATTAATTTGTTTCGATAGATATGTAAATGTGAAACATGTTTTACAATTTTTAATTTGTTTTTCGTTGTTTAACTATTTTTAACCTAATAGAAATAAAATTAATTGACAAAATAACCCTTAACAATTGAGCTTTTCTATTTTTTATTGTAATTTGTTCTTTTATACTTTATTTTTTCAAATCAAAGTTCATAAGTATTTTAATCTCTTTCAAGAAAGTATTTGTACTTAATTTTAAAGTTTAAAACAAAAGTGAAGCAAGGTTTAATTTTTTTCTCTTTTTTTTTATCTTAATATTTGCATAAAAAAATACTTATTTAAATATTATATGATCAAATTAAGTGTTTAAAAATATCATAAAAATTTTATAATATTATTCTATATTTTAAAGTTATTTATTTGATTTTGAAGATATTGCATATTTATTTTGTAGATTATTAATTGTATTATAATGTACAAATTCATATATATTTATATTAAACCAAAATTTGATAATATATCGAAACCACTAGTATTGATATTACCTAAAATTTAAAGAAAATTGAAATGTTGTCTGGTATGGTATTAATAACCTTGGATTAAACTCCGGTTGCTAGAAGAAACAAAGTCAAAACTTTTATTTTGGGGTTAGGATAAACCTAGTATAAACCAATTCAATAAAAAAATTGGTAAAAAATTCTAAATTTGAATAAAATAATAATATTATTATATAAAATAAAGTTATCTCATATATTATTAGTAAACTTTTTAAATTTCAAGTTTCATAGTTATTTGTGTGAAACAATATATTAATAAATCAATGATTAAGAGATAACTTAATAGTTAATCATTGATAACCTAATAATAAATTAATGATAATTTAATAGTAAAATACTGGTAACTTCATAGTAAATTAATTTTAATTTAATAGTAATTAAATAATGAACTTAGTCATAAATCATGACTAACTTAGTCATAAATCATGAATAACTTAGTAGTAAATCATTGAAAACTTAAAAGTAAATTAATATAATTTAGTATTAGTAAATCATTGATAATTCAATAGTTAATCAATGATAATTTAATAATAAATCATGTATAATTTAATATAAATTAGTGATAACTTGGTAATAAAAAATGATGGTAGATCACGAAAGATATAGATACAAGTAATAAAAAAATGATACGATAGTTAAGAAATTAGATGAAAATGTGGTTATTGATAGAAATAAGTAATGCAAAAGGATACAGATTACAACCTAATTTGATTCTCTTATTTGATTTTTTATGCATCCAACCCTAAAATATGATATATAAGGCTTAGTGTGTTATTGTTGTTGTAGTGATAACTTGATAATAAATCATAGTTAATTTAGTAAGAAATCTATGATAATTTTGTGGTAAAAAATAAAAAATTAAGTAGTAAATCAATGACAACATAGTAGTAAATGAATAATTACATAATAGTAGATCATTGATTATTTAGATGCAAATTATTAGTAATTTAGTAGTAAACAAATAATAACTTAGTTGTAAATTAATGATAATTTAGTTGTAAATTAGTGATAATTTTGTAATAAATTAGTTAATAATTGATAACTTTGTAGTAAATTATCGATAAATTAATAGCAAATCAGTTATAACTTTATAATAAATCATCAAAAATTTAATAGTAAATCATTAATAATTTATTAGTAAATCGTTCATAACTTAGTAGTAAATCATTCATGAATTAGTAGTACTTCAATGTTAATTTGATAGTAAATAATTGATAATTTAGTAGTATTTTATTGATAACTTAATAGTAAATCATTGATAAAATAGTATTAAATCAATAATAATTTAATTGTCAATCATTAACAAATTTTTTATACTTGAGGTAGTTGGGAATTAAATCTTAGTTACTAACAAAAACAAAGTTTCAAATTTCATTTTGGGGAGTGAGGATAAATTTACCATGAATTTATTTAATAAATAAATTTAGTGAAAAATTTTAAATTTGAATGAAGCAATAATATTATTATATAAAAGAAAATCATTTTATATTAGAACTAAACTTTCAATTTCTTACGAGAATTTATTATTAAATAGATGATGATACAAATTTTATTAATAATTATTAAAAGTATATTATAAGTCACTAAAATATTACTAAAATTACATCAAGAGATTATTAAAATTTTATAAAAAAATTATCAAAATTATATTAGTACTTACCAAAATAATATCGTAAATTATCAAAGGATTATCAAAATTGTATCAAAGGTTATCAAAATTTTATTAAGAGTTATAAAAATTAAAATTATGTAAAAAGTTATCAAATTTTACTTATAGTATAAAAAATACAAATTAAATTGTTAGTATTTATTATTATTATTATTAAAAGTATATAAGAAATTATTAAATTTTACTTATGGTATACCAAAATAAAAATTAAATTATTAATATTTATTATTATTATAGTATAAAAATTATTTATTAAAATATATTTTTTGTAAAAAAAAAATTGCATGTGCATCATGCGTATGCTTAAAACAAATCATATAAAAGAAGCATAAGGATTATTGACGAGGAAAAAGAAAAAGGGGAACTAGAGAACAAAGTACAAAAGCGTAGACCACTTTAACAAGGCAAAAACAATGCACGTAGGAGTACAATATTGACCAAAATAAATTCAGATAAGGCACATGTCTTTTCTAGGAAAGGCAGGAAAATGCTTCAACTGCTGATTAAGATAAGGACATGGCAAACTACGATTGCTGGTTGCAAACGTAATACTTCAGGCTTCCTTTCATGAAGCTACTAAAATCTAGCTTTGACAAATAATAAAGCAAATATTCATCGCCAATAAGCTCATGATAACCATTCAGATCAAATCATGCTGCAATCTTAGATTACGAAATTATCTAATAAAACTGAAGGCGGGGGCCATGTTTTAACTCCATTATTATGAATTATGAGTCAGAAATTGAAGACAAGAATGCTCATCGTTCAGCTGTTAGGCTGAGTTAGAGCAGCCCAATCTGATTAAATTTTGAGTAACAAGTGGCTCCGAATTTTGGGGGCTATTCATTGAGTTTGGGATATTAATGAAAAAAATTGTTTTTATTTATTATTATTTTTGCTTTTTATAATAAAAAAGCGAAAAATTAAAAAAATACAAAATAAAGGAGAAATAAGAAGCACTGTCCTTGCTTTTCTTACTGTACGCATAGAATCTCCATAACCGTTCCTATAATATGAAATTGACAATCAAAAAGCCCAAGCGACAAAGTCGTATCTCCATATCCATGACTAGTTGCGGAACATTCTCATTCATTGGGCTGCTTAAAATTCCCAAAGCATAAGAAAACTAAATTCCCACAGATAGAATTGGATAAATTAAATATCATGATATTTGAATTTGTGCCAAAGTCCAACTATCATCATCCGTAGCAATCTCGCATTCAAAGAATCAAGGAAATAATAGCGCAATAAAGACAATTCATGGCACATCATATACATACATAAAGAAAGTACTCCTGAATGGAAAATGAAGCTAACTGAATCATTATTGACCAAATCCAATAAACCAAATCTATGCTATTGAAAGAGAAAGCAAAGCTTAAGAGGAAACCAGGATGTTTACTGGTGGCTGCAGAGCTTAAAGTTTTTGCTTAGTACAAAAGATAAGCCTGGTATCTCTATTTGCAGATTGACCCTCCCACCCACCCATTCTGCTGAAATCCTCAAGTTGAGCAAACCAAGTCTTAGCCGTCAGAAAATAAAGTTTTATTTCTAACGAGACAAATCAAAACGGGTGCAAATTAATCTAGTTTATTCATGTTGGTAGCTGCAGGCAAATTTTAAGGTCTTGCTTTCACTGATGAGAATTTTTTATTCCCTTGTTTTCTACTATTCTTCTTGGGTGCCCATCACATTGTTTAATGCCGTTTGCTTCCAGTAGAGAGTAGAGAGGACCTCCCAAGTCTCAAATAGCCGATGGTCACATCTTCCCCAAGGATTAAAAAACCAAGTCCGGCTCGAACACAAGTTGATTGAGTTGATAAAAAACGAATATTTCACTCGTAACTTTTAGATACATTCACACGCTATTACCAGTTATACTTAGTATACCATGCAAGTCTTCACCGAAATCTACAATATACTTTAAGACTCTAATCGAGATAACCTCTCCTCTCCATATCTAAACTTTTGTTAATATATATATATATATAGCCCACCATCACACAATTTTAAAGCCAATGGCTGGCGCTTTTATGACTGGGTTCTTTTATCCTAGGCTACTTGCCGAAGGAGAACCTTTGTTTCAAAAAAGATTAGAAGAGTATGTAAGTCATAAACTAAAGAGGGCACTGAGCGGACTTCATGACATGCATGCTTATTTTTAAAGAAAAAGGAGATTGTAATAAAAAAAAGCAAAGTAGGGGAAAGGGCAAGGATATTTCCTAGAAAAGGATCCAAGCAAACAGTATTTGGGAGAATACAAATTGGAGTTCCCTCAGCAGATCACAACATTTTACATTACATTCATTTGTAGGAATATTATTCTTTCTACCAACAACTAGCGAAGACAATTCATTTGAATTTGATCAAACACCCATATGGTTAAGGTTGGTAAGGAATTAAAAGGGGGTAGCATGCATAAAAAACGAGAACAATATACTTTCTTGACATCTCAAAATTTCTTGCCACCTTCTACCTAGGTTAATCAGCCTTAGATTAAAAAATGTGACAATAGATTGACGGGTTACTTTCTATCCCAAAAAGAGAGATACAATGGTTTTACTTAGACAAGATTCACGAATACGAGCACCCTGTCACACGAAACGAACGAATAATCATGGTTGCCTTTTTGAACGGGGCAAGAGAGCAAGAAGAATCTTTTTCCTAGGGCCCTGCAAATAAACCAGCTTCATTAGGGACAATTCAGCATGTTATGTAAATTTCAACAGCTATATCTTAAGATTACATTTTGCACAACAGTTATCAAACAATATTCACGTGAAAATTGATCATGATAAAAGTCTTTTGATTGGCTGCATGTGAATCTAGAAATCACCCGGATCACATCCCATATTACCAAATACCCTAAATTTATTGTGAGCAAGAGGCAAATTAAAATTCCCATCTATACCATGGTAAGCACCTGGATACTGGAGTCTTTCAAAAGTTAAAACAATTAGTAGCAGGCTACTAAGCAGTAAACCTGGAACTATAACTATAACTTAGCAGCAAGGAAAATCCCTGATTTCCTAGCACATAGTGCTTACTGAAAATGCTCAACCATAATCCATCTACAACTATAATCGTAGCACATAAAGCCTTGAGTTAAAATGAATTTGGCTTAGGCAGCAAGTAATTGAAATTCATGTAAAAGAAATCCAGGCACACAGAATTATCATGATGTACTTAAGGTGCTCAAATCAGTCTCAGCTGTGTGCACATGCTAAAAATCACTTAAAAAAATGTTTTGAGAACTGATGTCTAATGAAGAAAATATGAGACAGGCTTGACAATTTCAACTTTGTGAATTTAACTCGTCAGAAATCTGAGTTTAGGTATGTGCATCAGTTATTAGTTTGGGGCCTTTGGGCAAATCAATTGTGAAAATAAAGAACAGAAAATTTAAAAATAAACAATACCAATACAGAAAAGAAGCGTAATATACCATAGGTATTCCTAGCTCTTTAAGATCATTTTCCCCCATCTGTTTCAATGCTGTCATATCCACCTGAGTAAAATTTCAAATCTACAGATCAGCCAAAATAGGAGAATACAGATAAAACAAACAAACAAGCAATTCTCCAATCAAAATCACAAAATCAATACATAACATTTCAATAACTTAAAAATAGAGTAAATTAAATCTTCAAAATTTGCATGATAGAACAGCTGCAGAAACAACCTCAATCCAGGAAATTTCTCTATATACAGTTTGTTTGGAAACATCAGTACCCAAATGTTTCTTGAAGATACTTATGCATTGTTTTATAAGACAGATTCACAACTTGAATAACATCACCAATTTTGGCAACCATTTCAAACACACCAATGTCAGCCATAGTTGGCATCAGTGGCGAATCCAAGATTTTTTTCGGAGGTGTCCACTTATATATATATATATATATATATATATAAATTTGTTGATGGATTTATCAATTTTATCTATGGAAAGGGTGTCCAGGGGAAAATTTTCCTTCAATTTTTCTTGTTACCCAATCTTTGAGGGTGTCCATGTTACACTAGGATCCGCTTATGGTTGGCATAATAATCATATCCAACATTTTTTCAAGAAAGAGTAAATTTCGTTATTGCAATTAAAAGTAAAATCAAATAAGATATGTGCCTGCATCTCTGCAACACAAAATCCAAGCATCAATTGCAACTATCAAAGGTACAGCAACTACTGGTTTGTCATATCCTCTATTTGATCTAGAAAGGTTTCCTCCAAAACAAACACAGCACCTGCCTTAATACATTTTTTGTTGTGTTTCTACTACTTCTTAATATCCCCCTATACCCTTTTTTTTTGGGGGGGGGGGGGGGGGGCGCAGAGGTTGCCAATCTGGCATGGGGAGGTAATAGAGGGTACATGAATCATACTTTTTTCTTTTAGATACAAAAGGAAGCTCATAAAGAGGGTTACATATGAAGAGGTAACCTTTCATCCCAATAAACTTCATCCTCATCCTAAGGTTGAAATGTGTGAGCTACATTTTGAAATTCTCTAGATCTAATCATTGGACTTCCACTTTTGGGACATAAAACATACATATTAATCTTTGCTTCTATAAAGTTCCATGTTTATTTTTATTTGGACAAGCATGTGTGAAGACATCTTTACATTATCAACAGCCTTGCCAGAACCAAGCTAGACAATCTAACCTGAAAGTGATGTATTTAAGAATTAACATTGATGAGTAATCCTGAGTGCTACTGAGGTCATTTAAAATATGACAGATAAGATGCCAAAATCACTATTGATGCTAAAATATATTTTTTTTTCAATCAGAAAAATCAGCAAATATCCCCATTAGGTGAAGATGCAAGAACCATCCTAAGATCTTGCATTGCACCAGTGATTCAAACTACTGCCGTACTGAAATAACCAAAGAAAACAAATAGCAAGTGACAAACTACTATCAAGAAATAATATATCACAATGGAAATGCATCTTTGTTCTTGGCTGATTACTCTTCCCTTGCCTCTCATGAACACCTTTATTCTCCCCCCCCCCCCCCCAAAAAAAAAAAAAAACAAGATTTAATCTTTACTCTGGGAGAATTGAACAAAAGAACTAGATTACTTACTTCCTCTGCCTTAAAAAGAATTGCATATTTTCCCAACCCCAGTGAATGTAGCAAGCCTTCAACAGTTTGTTGTTCATCACCCTATATAGCATCCAGCCAAAAAGAAAGAAAAAAAAGGTAAGAAAATTCATCTAAACACTGCTCCTTACAAATCAATGCATGCATATAACTTTTAAGAAAAGTCTTTGGGATCACACTATGACTGGTCATTTATGCACGAATAGAAAGCAAACTGCATTGAACACTTGATAAAAAAGGGAATGGAAGTTAAGCAAAAATATGGTGAGAGGCAAAGGGTTAGCAAACAAAGCAAAGGTACTGCTATATTGGCAGAAGAGAGGACAATAATTATTAGGATCCAGATTTGATGAGCAAGAGCATAAAATAAAAATGCTTTCATAGAGGAGAAGATTCTTTGCTGATGTGAAAAAGAGAGGTAACAAAATGGGGTGGGGTCAGAGGTGTTCGTAAAGAGCATGTAGCACCTATTACTTGAAATTTCATAAATGTAATACATTATCTTAGGCACCGTAACATACAGTTTCAAAGCAATCTCAACTGCTACTTGTTCAGAACCAAAGTGACCAGACCAATAGCTACCCACACATAGCAGAATCTTTTTAAGAATAAAATAAAAAACAAGCAGGTCACCTAAAAATGCAATGTTATATTTAGTTTCCAAAAGACAATTTGGAAAACCAACAGAAATATAATTGGTTCTTAAACTTTTGGAACAGCATATTATCCTGTAGCCAACTGAATATGGTTGACAACAAAACTAACTAGATTGAAAGATCCAGACAAGTTACAATATTCTTATTCATTTCAGAGAGAAATATTTTATGATAGGTCTCGACTTTACAAGCATGGTGGTCTGAGAATAACATAACACATTTCTTTTGACAGTTTAAAAAATGCAAACAAAAAAAAATCATACAAAGTAAGGAGTTATATGGTAAAGAACAGACTAAACTCATAAGCAGCAGATATTCACGAGAAAATATATTGCTGAAAAAATAGATGTAAAACATGTTCATTGCACCCTTCACTTATAGGATGGAAAGTAGACAGCAACTAGTACATACAGAGTATGAACTTTTTTGTACAATGCTGCTTGGAGGAATTGGACTTGGAATTGGGAGGCCTGGTGGCATGGGCTTTGCAGAAGTGGTAGGCAATGTGGACTTTGTAACAAAAGATGCTGTACTCACAGGCCTTGGAGCATCAAGAACATCTTTGCCCATGTATGGAACTGTCCTCACATCATCATATGCCCTGTTTACCGGCTTTTTCTGAAGCTCTTCAACATTTCTTGGGGGAGATAAACCCCTAGAAGTACCCATTACTCTGTCTGGTGATCTTTGCCTTAAATGATCTAAAGTCCAAGAAGAATAAGAACTTCTTGATGTGGTCACATGAGGCAAATCATCCACACTTCTTGTGGAAAGAATTCTGCCCAAGATACTGGTTTCCCTTGGTTCAGGCATTCGCTCCCTTGGGTCAGGCACTCGCTGACGTGTCTCATAACTGTTAAGTGGAGGCTGTCCCATTCTTGACAACTTTTCACGAAGGTCCATGCCCTTATGGTTATCATCAATCTGAGCCCGTCTAAACACCTTTTTTTGCATGAGTTTAAATCGGAGGTCATCTTTACCAATGTGAATATCTTTTTTTTTTCCCAAAAGAAGTGATGTTAGTAATCTCACAAGCAGCTCAGAAATCAGCAAAATAAGGATATTGCAACATAGAGGTATAAGTTTGGTACCATTCAAGCCATTAGCATTCAAACTTGTTGTATGACCATCACCTCTTTGTCTGTAGAAAATGGCAAAATAGCGCAATAACTTTTTGCATAAGTAAACTCCATTAATAAACTAATAGGGTGAAAATTTATTCACACAGGAAATAAACGCCAAAGGCAGGGCAATGTATCAGCTCTCATGGTCTATGTTGCTGCAACTCTTTATTTTTCCTAAAGAATCCTTGTTTAACACATATCCAACAGTCAAAGTGGAAACAGGATACAGTCCTGAACTCCAAATTATAGGAATAACTTAAAAAAAAAAAAAAAAATTAAGCATATCCACGTCCAACAGTCACTCTCAAGTCCTGGCAATCCATAGCAACAGAATTCTATCATGTCATTCGAACAAACACCCTAAAATAAGTGCTCTAATTTGGAAGCTACTATAACAACAGCATCACTATCATCCACTAGGAAACACAGAACATTACATAAATAGCCATTGCAGAAGCACCGACATAGCAAAGCAAGATTTTGAAATGCCGAGAAAACAACAGTAAAATTCCTAAGAACATACCGTTTGTTATTGAGCTGACTTCCAAGCAACAAGGAACTATCTATATTGCCTCCTAACCTATCCCTTACAGAACGCTTACTACCAGCAACAGGATGAGAATCAGGAAAATCAACATCTGATGCAGGTCCAGCCCTCTTCACCACCTATACCAACATAATCAATATAGTTCATGCTCAAAAGAAGCCAACAAGAAAAATAAGGGAACTACACTGACTGTTTTTTTAAAGAAACAGCTTAAACACTTTAATGGATAAATAAACAAAAACCTACCATACTAAACTAAATCGTTCAGAGTCGAGAATTAATACAATATATGTTCAAAGGACAAATTCCTATTAATTTCAAGCTTATTTCCTACATTTTACCAGCAACCAAACAAATACTTAAGTAACATCACCAATTTCGAGGAAAAAGAAAAGAAAAAAAATATTACGAGAAATAAAGTAAAACAAATACCTGGCCACTACGGCCAAGAGTGATAGTAACACGGCCCCGCGAAGCTTCTGCCATGAAGAAACCCTCGACTAGTTAAAAATCGATAAATCGGCTCTTTCAGCTATGACTTCTGAGGGATCAACTAAAATGATACTTATCATCGTCTTTTAGAAAAAAATAGTTGAAAAATAGAAACCCTAAAACACCTCAATGACGGAAAATTAGCCGTTCATTTTGGGAGATTTGGAACTTCGATCGTGAAAAAAAAAAATAGAAATGTAATCTTAACGTCACTGTTTTTTTAAAAATAAATTCTCTTCGGAAATTTTAGGGTTTTCCAAAGAGGGAATCTGATCGTTTGGCCTCCAAGAAAAAGGAAAACACGAACGGAGATCTTCGAGACTCGTGAGGCATTGTGGCGCTGTTACTGGAAATTTTACAGTGCGGTTTATCTTGTATGCTCTGACAATATAAATAGTAAACGCCTGATTCGTTTAATGAATATGGGACGTCTTAATAATTAAAAAGAAAAAGGAAAAAGGCAGTTTTAAAATAAAACATAAATAAAAAACGGGATGGTTAAATATTTATTTGGCCTATATACTATTTTTTTTTTTTATCAATTTAGTACCGAAAGAATAAAAGTTAACATTTAATACTTAAACCTATGTTTTTTTTATCTATTCAATGCCAAAAGAATAAAAATTAACAATTAAATCCTTAAACTTGTATTCCATTGAACACTTTGGCCATAGAAACCATTACACTTAGTTAAATTTATTGACATAGCATAATATCCAATAAAATCTTAACATGTGTAAAAAATATTTAACAATCATTCCATTATTCATTATCGTGTCAGCATTAAAACATAAATGATTAAATATTTATTTGAAATTTATTTCTTCATCTTTAATCGGCAGTCAAAATTTTTCCAAAACCCAAGTGCCATTGCCACCACCTGTCATTGTCGACGCCATTTGTCGGCACTAGTTTAGTCCCAAGTTTCACCAAATGTTCCTCTTCACCTCATATTTCATTTTCTCCAATTGATTTTCCCAAAAAATTAGCCAAATGACATAGATTTAACTTCAAAGATGCGACTTCAAAGGGCCGAGCAACCTCCTTCTGCCACTTTGACTGACTTGAAATTTTTGGTTCCGTTTGTTTTGTAAAAGTTGATTTTTAGAAAATATTTATATTTTTTGAAAAAGTAAAAAATTTGTTGTTTGAATGAGTTATTAAAAAATATTTTTTATTATTTGGTTATTTTTTTAAAATTTTTTTTCGTTCTTCAAATTCTATTAATATAACTATTAAAGAATTAAAAATGATTTATTATTAAAGTATATTGCAACGATTTATTATTAAAATTATTAACATTCAAGAATAATTATATTTTAAAATAATATTTAATATTAAAATATTATATTAATATAAACAATACTTAAAATAAAACTATTTATTATTTTTATATTAATATCTTAAAATATTTAAAATAGTATTACTATTTTTAAAATATTATTTTTATTAATATTGAAATAGTAATATTTATTATTAAAATATTTATATTTTATATTGAAAGTATCTATTATTAAATCATAACAAAAGTATGTTTTGTTTATATTATTATTAAAATTGTAATATAAATACCATAGATAATAAAATATAAAATTATATATTTTAATCTAAAAAAAAGAAATTATTAAACATATTCATATTATGAAAAATATTATTATATTATTTAATATTAATTATTAAATAATTAATTCAATTATTAATTAATTTTGATTGCCCTGAATCCTTAAAACCATCAGCTTGATTCTTTGCTGCTCCACCATCAGTTTTTAATTGACTTCTACATCTTTCACATGGCTCATTGTCTTTCTCTTCTTCATAACTCTGAGCTACTGCATCAGATTCTCATTGGTAAAATGTGAATTTCCAGCATACTATAAGTTAAATGTGTGTTCTGTTTGGAGTTAGTTCTGAGTATTTGTTTCTGTTGTTCTTTCCTTCCCCTATTTCACTTCTGTATGTAATAAAATTAATTCAATGCAAAGAACTAAAGAAGATCCCTCTGCTTAACTACCGGATCCTAAAGTCCAACCGGGACTGCTGATGCTCCAAGATTTAATCCGGCTACTAAGTATGGGTCAGAGTAGCTGTTGTAGCTTTTCTTCTACGCGATGAATTAAAAATGGAGGAAATTTCTTGAAAATGCTTAAGTAATGTCCAATCCTCGTTCTTTCCGACCAAACAACATTATTTCGGTGAATTTTCTGTTGGAATTATTAGAAATTATTTTTATTTTTATTCCATTAGAATTCTTTTTCTGACTCGATGTATCATCTTAAAAAAATGTTACTGTTTAACATTTCAATAATTTAAAAAATATATTTATGTAAACATTAATGATTAAATTAAAAAACTTACTCCCTCTGTCTTATTTATTTTTATTCTTTTTTTTTTTAGAAATGTCTCAAAATTATGTTATTTTTTTTCTAAATATTTAAAACTTCTATTTTTTTATATTTTAAAATTATTTTAATGATTTTTTTCACTTTTTAATATTAAAGGTCATGAAACTTTAATTTTAATATTAAATATATTAAAATAAAAAAAATTTAATTCCATAAAATTTAATGTCGCCCCGGACGGAGAAAGTTATTGCTTTTAAAACACTCACCTACAACGAGGGATGCTCTAAGGAGATTACGAGGGCTATGGCCTCTCAAAAAATTTGAATTTATATATATATATATATATGTGATTTTCATAGTAATTATAAATATTTTAGTGAAAAGAATTAGTTTAAACCCTTCAAACTTAAATTAATTGTATTGATATATATTATTCTTTACTTTATGTATATAATTGAATATATAGTTATAAAATTTATTTGTATATAAATTACAACTGTTAATTTTAAAATATAATTACAAATTTTTTAATTTATGTTTGTTATTATAAATGATTTTTAATTTAAAAATGAATAAATTTATCTCACATTAAATATTCACAAACATGTAAATTTAAGTATATATATATATATATATATATATATATATATATACAAGTATTATAATAACTAAAATCAATTTAGTAAATATTTAATTGTGATCTTTTTTCAACCAATTTTTTTTTATTATATGCATGCTCATTTTATTTAAAAATTATTACATATTAAAATAATTAATATGATTAATTTAAATATTTTTTTATTTTTTATAATATAAAATAATCACATAAAAAATTAAAAAAATTTATTTATCGTATTAATATCTTTATTTTATTGTTTTAAAATTTAATTTTTTATTTAAAAAATTATATTTTTGTGATTTTTATTTTAATATTTAAAATATTAAATATGATAAAATAACGTGTTAATAATGTAAAAAATAATTTTTATTTTTTATAAAAATATTGTTAATGATTATAATTAAAAATCATGAAATCAATTATTTAATATATTTACATATATTTAAATATTATTATATTTATAATTATAAGTTTTATTATTATATATGTATATTTATATTTTATTATTAATAAATTTAATATATTTTAAAAAAATTATTATAAAATATTATTTTATACCCGATAAGATCCTGCTCACTAAATTTAATGACTGACAGTGTATGCTTCCCTAGATTTTAAAACGAAAGAAAGTGGGCAGTAGATGTCGTGGCGCAAATTTTAAGGAGGCAGGCAACGAAGTGTCGTCGACTCCAGACGTAGCGTAAAGGCAACGCAGCTCAAATTAAAGATGCTTGAACAAACATCTGCGCTATTTCAAAGCGACATCAATGTCTGTCTTTGATTCTATGGATTATCTCATATAACTTTGTATGATGCTTGGAAATGGGATCGTTAGTAGTATTTTTTCGTTTCTTTTGTCATTTTCGTTTCTCTTCCGTAATAGATTTAAGATATTTTTTAAAAAGTATTCATTTATAATATATGAAAAAATAACAAACAAAAATTTGAAATAATTAGTATAATTACACATGGTTAATTTTCGTAACTTAAAAAAAAAAAAAGATATTGCTTCCATCAGTAATATTTTATTTTTTGTCCATAATAAATTATTTATGAAAAAATTTCATCAATAATACAATTTTATCAGAATTATAAAGTTTCATTGATAATTTATTGATAAAATTTTTCATTGATAAAAATATTTTTTGTCAATATATTATTTTAATTTTTTTCAACATTAATTGTCATTTTTTTTAAAAAAATTATCGATAATATTTAAAATTTCTTCAATAATAGTTAATATTTTTATCAATAATATTTATTTTTTAATCATATATAATTATATTTTATTTATAATTTATCATTTTATTGTAATGTTTTTAAATTTGTTTTTAAAGTAATTGCATGAATATTAAAATATACATAAATAATAATAAATAAACTAAACATCTTATTTCATTTATAAAAAATATAACAATATTTTATAAAATTATTAGTAAAATCTACAAATGTCATAAAAACATCTGATAATACATGCAAACCGCTACCTATTATTATAAAATATAAAATAGATGTCACTCTAGCTCCATCAGAAAAAAATTTTAATGTTTTTTAACAATTTCCTATTATAAAGAATTGAGAATCTTTTGTTCATGCCTTTCCATACCTTGCTCTTTGGAACAAGAAGTCGCCTCACGCCTTGCTTCATCATCTTGAGTGCATCTATCAATCTAGTCCAACAACATGGAATTAACAGTGCCATTAGAGAACGTTAAAGGTAGCTGTAACTAGCAATCAGAATCTAATTGCAGAAG